TTGGTGCAAATTACTGACCTCTGTCATCATTTTAAGTGGGGGAACTTGCACAATCGGTGGCTGACTAAATACTTTTTTGCCCCACTGTAGCTAAATTACACAACAGATGAGTGTTGTCAACATTAAATATTGACGTACTCACAGCAGGATGATGTCCAGTCACGCACACACACTGTACTGACAGAAGTAACGGCTCGTCTGCCGTCACATGAGCTCGACATCCCATCCTTAATCCACACAGTTTAATATGATTTATTATGAACTTTTGCAGCTATAAGAGTTTTTCAGTTCTTCTGGGAAAGCTTTCCATAAGGTTTAGGAGTGTTTATGGGAATTCTTTAACAATTAAGAAGCACATTTGTGAGCTCAGACCCTGATGTCGGACGTCTGAGTCATCCCAGAGGTGTCCTGTCAGGTTGAGCTCAGGACTCTGTGCAGGCCAGTCTAAGCTGCTGTCGTTCCCAATCGCTTCCACTTAGTTATAATTACACTTAACTCTTGAATATTCAGTGCCAGGACCTCGGACTCACAAAGTAACATTTTCATTCTTGACTTATTTTGGACAAAATCCTGCGAACAACATGTTGTAATTCCTGCTACATGCTACAGCATCAGGCAGGTTGTTCCTTTTTTAAGTATGTTTTAAGCTGTGTGTGTATATATGTGAAAAAAATATATAAATATTAGCAACCTAGCATCACTATGTGGTTGCTGCTCAACACAATGATGTTATAATATGTCATGAATAATTAACTTTTTGTTTATATAAATTAGATACCAAATAATTGGCAAAAAGGGTACTTTTATCCCATTGCTAGGTAGTTGCCAAGCAACCAGATGATGTGTCATAATATGCAAAGTCATACAAAGTTGAAGTTTTCTGATATAACATAGATGTTGTTGTCATTAGATAAAACCCGCATGCCTTTATAAGATGTTATGGGTAATGCTGAAATGCTGCATAAAGGCTGTCAGCCATATTGTTAGGCAGCTGCTAAGCAACATGATGATAACATCTGGTATAGATATTGATAGAGACCTTCAGATCAATGTATCAATGTAGCATTTTTAGTCTTCTGATCATCGGAGGAGTCGGAAGACAAAGAAACGAGCAGAGATGTTAGGCGTTATATTTGGACAGTACAGGGAAAATAAGTCATGTTGTTGCTGATGTTAATGCTAAGTCTGCTGAAGGTAAGTCACTCGACTTTAGGATTGTATTTTAAAACAACATCACTGTGACTGCTTTAAAAGCTGGACTTGCTTCTGTTTGATTCTTATTGAAGGTCAGCTGTCCCCATGCAGACACATGAACGGAGGCTGCGGCGACCTTTGCCTGCTGACCCCGTACGGGAGGGTCAATTGCACTTGCCGTGGAGAGCGTGTGCTTTTAGACGACAACAGATGTGTGTGTAAGTCACGGAAAGCTTCAGATTTAATTGGGATTACTTTGCCTACATTTACGAGCTCAGTGTAACCCGGCCTCTGCCCGTCTCTTTACGTAAACGGACATTTTTGAACTCCGTCCTCGCTACATAACTACACACAATCAAACAGCTGTGGCTTTACAGCACTTACAGAGGTTCAGTATGAGCTACTGCATGTTATATTTGAGTATAAGAAAAGTCGAGAGGAGCAGGTTGTTTTCCACATATAACGTCGAGTCACGAGGCAACATGGCAGCAGCGTTTGCGTCTAATGTGACATTGCTGCTTGAATATGAAATGCAGTGATGGTAGACCATATGGTGGGTGGAGCTGTTCAAACGAGGAAAGTTTGGCCAGCCTGAACGTGGCAAGTGACTCGGAGCTGGATGATCGCTTGGATGTCATGGCAGACGATGGCAGGCTTCTTACCCACACTCCAGTCTGACTCATTAGGAGGAAGTTTAGCGTTTTTGACTTGCAAAGCTGCAAGTAGCAGTTCAGAGGACGGCTGATCAAAGTCTGTGAAAGTTGCTGGAATTTTAATTCATGCCTGGAGAAAATCACTACAAATGTTGGCGTTTCATGTTATGGCACTGTACACCAAATCGACCATCAGTGCAGCATCATAATATTCTCAACAATTCGCAGGCGACCGACTGAAAGTATGGTATTGAATGCAGCATTTTCATACTGACCCGAATGTAAATGTGTGGCTCGCTCCAGTTTGTGCAATAATATTTCCACATTCTTCCTTTGCAGCAGAGAATTCCTCCTGCAACATCTACACTGAGTATGAGTGTGGGAATGGAGAATGCATCGACTTCCAGCTGACCTGTGATGGAATTGCCCACTGCAAAGATAAATCAGATGAGAAGATGCAATACTGCGGTAAGAGCATCAAAAAGCACGTTAGCTTGGTCTGAGTTCTTATAAAAGCCTGATGACTCACAAATGTCACCATACTGGAGTTTAACACATACATGCATTTCTATTTGTTTAGACAACCGGAGCTGCCGGAAGGGTTTTCGGCCCTGCTACAACCAGCGGTGCGTGGCCACTAACCGCTTCTGTGACGGGATCGATGACTGCGGGGATAACTCCGACGAAGCATTGTGTAGCAGTAAGTTACAGCCCTGTGATCTGCTGGGCTATCCATCCTCCTATCCATCCACGAAGGCAGAACCCAGTCACACTACTGCTTCTGTCAGTGTTTCACGCTGGACCCCATGCTGTGCTGAGCCTTTGCTCCCTAATGAGCCACGAGATCATAGCGAGTGCAAAAATTCAAAGAATCTTACCCCAAAAGCTGATTCTGGGAGCCTGTACAATGTTTTCTTTATTCCAACAGAGCGCAGTGATTTTATTTAATGTAAGTATTTAGTTTAAAGGCAGAAACATACTGAGGTGCTTATATCAAGCTGCCTGAGCAGACACTAGCAGCTTTATAATGAATGTGGACCTGAGTTTACCTGACTAGATGTTGTACCTTCATCAGCGTTTTCTTTTCATGGGACATGAAACAAAAACTTTTTTACATAATAGCAGAAAATGACAGATTGATGAATGCAGACAAATGAAATGGACATGGGAAGAAAACTGAAGCACACACAAGGTCATGGCATTCAGGTAGCTGTTAGCACTCCACCTGCACAGATGTTGGGAGTCCAAGTGTTGTTACGAGCTGCACGCGTCTGTCTACGAGTGCTGCTTTTGTTCCCGTCTCTCTTTGAAATGCTAATCTTCTACCGTAGATGTCACGTGCGGCTCATCAGAATCGTCGTGCAAAGACGGGAGCTGTGTGCCCAGCTCGGCGTGGTGCAACCAGGTCATTGACTGCGCCGACGCCTCGGACGAAAAAAGCTGCAGTAAGTCCTCCATCGCAGTTAAAACACACACACACACACAGCAGTGGCATTGTGACGAGTTGTGCTTCTGTGTTTTGTATTCAGACCACACCGACTGCTCTCACTTTTACAAGCTGGGAGTGAAAGAAAAAGATTTCATCAGCTGCAACTCCACCTCGCTGTGCATCCACGCCTCGTGGATCTGCGATGGCGCCAATGATTGCGGCGACTATGCTGACGAGACCAACTGCCAGGGTGAGCACAGGCACGCACAAAAACACACATTTTGCCTCTTCGTTCGCAGGCAGATCAAGGAAGCCTCAATTAGAAAAGACTTAAGACAGATCTGGTTTTCAGAGACGATTATGACAGAGGAATGAGAGCTCCAGAGAGAGCTTAGGAAAGATAATGATCTCAATCGCTGCTTAAGCCCAGCGCACTGACTTGGTTTTGTTGCTTGTGCCAGTTTCCCATGGGCAGAAGTGTGAGGAGGGACACTTTGCGTGTCCAAGCGGGAACTGCATTTCCAGCGTGTGGCTGTGCGATGGCCAAAAGGACTGTGAAGACGGAGCAGATGAATTCCAATGCGGTAGGCCAACAAATCGTCACCCTCTTAGAAGAGCTTCCCCAGAATAAACTGAAATAATAGATGAGGTATTTTATTCCAGCACACAACGCTGTCAGCGCTTGCAAGGATATTTATTTTCTATTAACTAGAAGCTATTTGTTGTAATGTTTTTGTCATTTAAATAGATCCAGGCCTGCAACAAATATCACGTTAAATATATAAATAGGAGGCAGAAAGACAAGAGATGATTGTTTATCGCGCCATGAGGCAATTCCTTCTCACTTTGTTTTGCTTAGCCTGATTGTGCGTTTGAGATTTCTCAAGTGGGTGTTGCTGCTTGTTTGAAAGTCTAATTCTGACCCTGAATTCAGAGCGAGGCGGTGGTAGACGCACCATTTTCCCCTGCTCTCTTTGAATTATAATATACAGCCCTTCCAGTGTAACAATTAATTAATGAGCCATCACTCACTGAAGCGGTTACACTGAAGATGGAAATATGGGTTCACTGGAAAGCGGTGACATATGAAAGGATTACACAGTACAATGCCACTCCTCTGCTTCCCTCACCAGAGGCTGCGAGAGCGTTTATTCTTCTGCTTTCGTGCATGGTAATGTGTTCAGAACTTAATGCAAACTCGAAGATCTCTCCAATTAAACAGGAGGACCGTAGTTAAGTCGTGGTATGGATTAACGTAATTTGCCCACAAAATGAGAAGCTTGTACACGCGTCTGTTCACATGTCAG